CGCTTGCCAGACAGAGAGAGAGAGACAGAGAGACAGAAAGCGAGAAATCACCCCCCAGGGGGGATGGTCACACTGCAATCCCTTCTCCTCCATTCTCCTCTCGGGATCTTGGGCACACACGCACACGCGCTCGGCGTGAGTTTTAAGCCACCGGGGCCGGGAGGTGAACTGCGGTCCACTACGTGGGAGTTCAGCGACATAGCCATTACGCTAACTGCTGGTTCCCTCATCCTTTACTTTTTTCATAGATCTAGACTCAGAGTCTAAAATGCTACTTACATAGTGAAGATTTCTAAATTTAGTCTAGACTTCTGCCCTGAACACTAGACTTGAACACTTCCTCAGGATGTTCAGTAAGATGCCTAAAAGGCTTCTAAAATGTTAAGATGTAAAAAAACCCAAATTTTTCTTTAAACTTGTTCCTCCCTAATGGCAAGCCATCCTGCATCCATCCAGGCAAAAAAACAAGCAGTCATCCTTAATTGTCACATACTATACGTAAGCAAACCTTACAGCAGCTATTTAAAAAATATGTCCAGAATCTGACCACATCAACACCTCTGCTACTATCCTTAGTCCGAGTCTCCATCATTTTGTTCCTAAATAACTGCCCATCTCATAACTCATCTGCTTTTGCTTTTTCAACACCTTCACACACTCCTGTTTTCCATAAACAGCCAGAGTGATGTTCTTAAAACATGAGTGAAGGAACCAGCTGATGGCAAAATGGTTACATCACTGGACTCCTACATAGTCGACTGTGGTTTAAGTCCTGGACCCAGTGGCTTAAACTCATACCACGTGCATGTACATGTGAGCCCAAAATCCCAAGAGGAGAATGGAGAGGAACTGCGGGGTGGCCATCCCTTTTGGGTGCGGGGGTGGGGGTGATTTCTTGCTTTCTGTTCTTCCAGTGAGAGTTCGTGCCCTATAGCAAAAATCTAAACAACAACAACAAAGAGTGAAATAATCCCATTTCATTTGGAATAAAAGCCAAAGTCCCTAACATGGTCCCTAAAATCTTTAACTGTCTCTTCTTTCCACTCGCTGTGTTCTTCACTGGCCTTTTTGCCATTCCTAAACTAATCATGCATACTCTACTGCAATTCCTTCTGCCTTTAGTACTCCTATTTCTCATGTTGCAGTTATTGGGTTGTTGGGAAAGACATGACGCATTTTTGCATAGAAAAACACAGAAAAATAGGTTGTGACTTTGGCTTAAAATGACTATTACTTCTCGGGGGACCAGCAGGTGGTGTGGTGGTTAAGGTAGTGGACACTCCCACATGGTCGACCACAGTTTGAGTCCCAGACCTGGTGGCTTGCATTCTCACTTTCTCTCTCTTTCTCTTTCTCTCTCTCTGTGTGTGTGGTCATATTAAAATAAAATGAACAAATTTTAGAAAATGACTATTAAGTCTAAAAATTCTATCCAGTTCTTTTGTTGGTTTCAGCTGGGTCTGCTACACTCAGCTGGCACCTTGGCTGAAGCTGAACAGTCTAAATGTTCTTAGCCACATCCCAGACCTTGATGCTGGCTGCTGACTGGCCCACTTTCTCTATGTGGTCTCCCATAATTCAATATTCTTGCCCGGACTTCCTTATGTGGTAGAGAGAGCATGGTAAGAGGGGAAAGATAGAAGGTGTAATATTGCTTGGGGCCTAGGATTTGAAATTCACAAAATGCCTTCTTTGACATTTGGCCAAAACAAGTTATAAGGCCAACCCACACTCAAGCGGGTAGAAAAATAAACTCTACCTTTTTATGGAAAAAGCTGCAAAATATTCACACCCCAGATATCTGTATTTAGTCAAAAGTCTCATTATTGGGAGGACTGCTCTGATTTAATACGGAGTAACTATCCGTCACTCTGACACTTACTGCCCCACTTTGCTCTTCTCTACAGCATGCATTTTCTCCTGATCTTGCATATTTGCTTATTTATCTGTCTCCTTCCTACTATAGTACAAGCTCTGTGAGGGTAGGGACGTTTTCTGCTTGTTTCGCTCTTCTCCAGCACCATGAACAAACCTTGCACAGAGCAGGCCTCAATCAGTATCCTTCCTACTATAGTACAAGCTCTGTGAGGGTAGGGACGTTTTCTGCTTGTTTCGCTCTTCTCCAGCACCATGAGCAGACCTTGCACAGAGCAGGCCCTCAATCAGTCTCCTTCCTACTATAGTACAAGCTCTGTGAAGGTAGGGACGTTTTCTGCTTGTTTCGCTCTTCTCCAGCACCATGAGCAGACCTTGCACAGAGCAGCCCTCAATCAGTCTCCTTCCTACTATAGTATAAGCTCTGTGAGGGTAGGAACGTTTTCTGCTTGTTTCGCTCTTCTCCAGCACCATGAGCAAACCTTGCACAGAGCAGGCCCTCAATCAGTCTCCTTCCTACTATAGTACAAGCTCTGTGAAGGTAGGGACGTTTTCTGCTTGTTTCGCTCTATCTCCAGCACCATGAACAAACCTTGCACAGAGCAGGCCCTCAATCAGTATCTGCTGAATGAATTCTACTGAGCATGTGCCATCAAATAAAGCAAGATTCAAAATGACCCAAAAAGCATAGTACAAATTCTACTGTGGAAACGTTAGCAGCTTTATGCGTTCTTTTATTTATTCTGTGATTTTGAACAAGTCATTTTGTTTTGCTTCAGTGTGTCCATATATAAAAACTTCAGCCACATGTTTTTATGTTTTAGATATAAGGAGAAATTTTTAAAAATTAAGAATATATATTCATTATGTACCTATTCTCAAAAATCAATACCTTAAATGTATCATTAAACATTTATTCAGGTCCTAAAATATGTATGGTCTAGATACTTTACCAGTCTGGTACCAGAGGTGGAAGAGGCAGAACTTAACTGTGTAGTAACAGTAATTTACATAACATAGCTATGGCTACAGTGTCATCTACGCTTTATCTAGCCTTTGTCTAGCTTTTTTGTCTAGTCTTATCCTTAGCTTCTTTTATCATTTCTTCGGTAAAGAGCTATCCTGTCAGTCTATATTAAGTCATAACTTAAATGAGAAAAAATTTAAGTAGAAAAATAACAAAAAACAATAGCTTATTAAACATGTATGTGTGTACACATAATTCTATCGCTACTCAATATAAACAGAAAAAAAATGAGTGAATGCTGCAGAGGTAAGATGCATAGCAGAGGAGACATCAGTTCTAGGGCCAGCATCACCTATCCCAGTAAATTAAAGTTTTTAGGTCTAAACCAGCTTTATCTCTAATGTGGAAAATAGGATTAATTACCTATCAAAATTTCTCACTATAGGGCCAGCCTGTGGTGTGATGAAGGTGGCTGGGTCCCACAGGCTGACTACATGGTTTGAGTTCCAGACCTAGTGGCTTGAAAACCACATTAGGTGCGTGCGCGTATATACCCCAAATCCTAAGAGGAGAATAAAGAAGAAACTGCAGTGTGACCATTCCTCACGGTGTGTACTTTATCACTTTTTTTTCTCTCTTTCTCTGTTGCTCTCCAGTGAGCAACCGGATTAAAAAAAAAGAAAAACCCTGGAATTTGGTATTGTTGATATATATCAATTGTTACAACCTTATGACCAAGAAAGTCCTCTTCTAAGAATTATCCCACAAACACACTGGCACATGTGAGCAAAAATATGTGGAAAAACATGTAGAGGGGCATTATTTGTATTGGCAAAAGGTATGTGGAAAAATAGCTAAATGTTTAGTAAAAGCTAGTTAAAGAAATGATAGCATATCTACACAGCAAAATACTACGTAGTCATTTAAAAGACTTAAGAAATAATATGAACAATCTCTCTCCCTCCCTCCCACCCTCCATCTCTCTCTCTCTCTCTCTCTCTTTATAACAGAGGTTTTTGCTATAGGGCTCATGCACTTGCCAGAAAGACAGAGAGAGAAAGTGAGAAATCACCCCCAGGGGGACGGTCACACCACAATCCCTTCTCCATTCTTTTCTCAAGATCTTGGGCACACACACACACACACACGTGCCCGGTAAGTTTAAGCTGTGATCGACGACATGGGTGTCCAGTGATGTAACCATTACTCCATCTGCAATCTCTAAAATACATGGTTACATGAATGAAGCATGGTATATATACAGTGGTTTTTTTTTTTTTTTTTTTTTTTTTAGAGTTTTGCTATAGGGCATGTGTGCTCAATGGAGAGACAGAGAGAGACAGAAAGTGAGAAATCACTGCTCCTGCTGAGAACGGCCATGCCGCAATCCTTTCTCCTCTATTTTCCTCTGAGGATCTTGGGCACACATGCACTCACGCCCAAAGTGAGTTTCACGCCTGCAGATCTAGGACTTGAACCACAGTCAGCTGTAGGAGAGTCCAGTGACGTAACTATTACACCAAATACTAGTCTCTATACAGTGTATTCTAATCTTGGTTTCTTCTCTCCTACCCCCAGAGGGCGCATGTAGATGACAGGCAGAGACAGAGAGATAGAGAGTGAAAGTACCACCCAACAAGGCCTGGTCACACTGCAATCCTTTCTCTTCCAATTCTCCATCCTAGGCACACAGATGCCAACTAGCATAGATGCTGCTGGTGCTGAGATTCAAACCCTGGTTGGCTATGTGTGATCTGGCTTCCTCGCTACAGTTCTTACCACTGTGCTACAGGGTCAGCCCCTTATCTTAAAAAGGGAACAGTAACACACACAGACAGACACATATACACAAATATATATAAATTTTTGTTTACATAAAGAATATTCCTAAATGGAAATACAAAAAAATTAGTGGTAGTTGCTTCAGAAAAACTGCAGTTTAAGGTAGAAAAAAGATGTAAACTTTTTATTGTAAACTGCTTTTTCTATCTTCTGATTTTCCATGTATAGCTTTTTCATTAAACAAAGAAATACAAAATTCTTATTTAAAATACTTATATTCCCCACACTTTAAATTAGCCAAAATGCCTTATTTACCAAATATGCTATCTTCTCTGACAAAAGGTTCTATTATTTTATGCAGATATTTATAAATTACCTTGAAAAGCCTGGGGAACACATCTGCTGGTTGTCCACGAATCACAAACAGGCGAGAGTTTAATTTTCGAAGATTGGCATCGAGATCCTCAAGACACTGAAGCAAAAATCTAGAGAGAAAAATACATTAAAATTCTTAAAAATATAAAGTCATGTGTCACTTAATGATATATTCTGAGAAATGTGTTATTGAGCAACTTCGTAGTTGTGGGAACATCAACGTGTACTTATACAAACCTAGATGTTATTGCCTACAGTCAGGTTATATGGTATAATCTTATGGGACCACCGCTGTGTACACGGTCTGTCACTGACCAAAACACCATTATGCAGCACATGGCTATGGTTAGAAAACACGAAGTACTGCAAAGTCATATTACTTTAAGAGTTGGAGTGCTAACCCACCATCTTAGTAACTAACTAGTATATAAATTACTATTTCCAGGAACCATATTTATAATTTGTTTTAAAATTACAGTACAAGTTTCCCAGGATTTTATTTTATATTTTTTTTAGGCTTTTGCCATAGGGTGTGTGCTCTTCTCAGAGAGAAACAAAAACAGAGAGAGAGAAAGTGAGAAATCATCCCTCAAGGGGGATGGCCACGCCACAATCCCTTCTCCACCAGTATGCTCTTGGAATTTTGGGCATACACACGTGCACCTGGCATGATGTTCAAGCAGCGAGGTCTGGGACTGGAATAGCTGTCCGCCGTGTGAGAGTCCAGTGCCTTAATCACCATGCCACCTGCTGGCTCTCCCAGTAGTTTAATAAAGTCCTAAGCTGAACTAGTTTAATTAAATAAAAGTGTTAGCAAAAATTTATGAACATAACAATTATGTTAAAAAAATATCAAAGCAGGAGCTGGCAGGTGGCATGACTGTTAAGGCGCTGTACTCTCACATGACTGCAGTTAGGGTCCTGGTCCTGGCAGCTTGTTTCCTCACTTTCTCTTTCTCTCTCTCTTCTCTGTCTCTCCCTGGTCGAACTAAAAATAATAATGAATAAAATAAAATAAAAAGTAAATATAAAAGCAATCAAATCAAATCACTTGATCCCATTGTCTAAACTTCATGAAACAAAAATTTTTCTGCATAAAGATGACTTCTTATATAGAAATTGCTCCTTGAAAAATCCCCAATACCTTCTATAAGGGGGGGGGGAAAGGACAAGCCTATTTACTGACTCTGAACAAGTAAGTAATCAAAGAATATAAGTACTTTACTAAGATCTATTGTAATCATCTAAGAGAAGAGCTATAAGGCCCATTTTCACATTCTTAATCTTATAAAAGAAAAATAAATAATAAATGGATGGTAAATTAACTCTCTAAAAGTAGAGAATACCAGAGTTTTGTTTTGTTTTTTAAATGGTTTCTGTGGGACTATAGACCTGTTCATTGAAATAACAGCAACAGGGGCCAGCAGGAGGTGTAGTGATTAAGGCACTGAACTCCCTTGTGGCCAACCATGTTTCGAATCCTAGACCTGAAGGCTTGAAACTCATGCCAGGCACGTTTGCATGCATGACCAAAATCCCAGGAGGAGAACGAAGAAGGGATTGTGGCATGGCCATTCCCCTTAAGGGCGGTGATTTCACGCTTTCTGTCACTCTCTCTCTCTCTCTCTCCAATGAGTGCATATGCCCTCTAGCAAAAATCTCTTTCAAAAAAAATAATAATAAGGCTTACATATATTAGATATTTAGGATAATTCTGGGACAGTACAAAAAGACTGCTTATTACTTATGAAAAAATGGAGTGTTCAGTAAGAGCAAATCTGAGAGAAATGTGTTACTCGTGGAAGGTTCAATTTCATTTTATTGTTGTTTGCCTTTAAAAAATTTGCTAGAGGGTGTATGCCCCTGTTGGAGAGAGACAGAAAAAGTGCCCCCACCAGGGTGATGGCCACACTACAACCCCTTCCCCCTTTTCCTCTCTGGATTTTGGGCATGCATGCACATGTACCCAGCATGTTTTTTCAAGCACTGGGTCTGGGACTCAAACTATGCCATCAGCCAGGTGGGATGTGGCTGCCTTAACCACCATGCTACAGACTGGTGCTCAACCTCATTATTTGTTTCATGTTAATTTTCATCTCGATTCAATTATTCTAGCCAGACATGTCTTATTTCTCCTATTTTGCTGCCTTTATGTTTCTGCTCTGAAGTTAAATATTTGCCGGCCTTTTCCACAGTCCATGTGCTCTTTGAGAATAGTGATTAAGTCTTACTTATGAGAAGAAGTGGTTAAGAGGCAGGCAAAGGCCTATTCCAGAACTACACTATCCAACATGGCAAACAGAAACCACAGGTAATTGAATTTAAATTGATTGAAATTTAAAATGCAGTCCCTCAATCCCACTTGCCATATTTCAAGTCTTCAACAATCTTATATTTACATTTCATCACATCCCCTCTCTCTTTTTTTTTTTTTTGAGAGCTTTTTGCCTGTGCTTGCCAAAGAGAGAGACAGAGAGACAGAAAGCAAGAAATCATCCCCCCCCCCCCCGGCAGAAACCGAGAAGCCCCCCCCCCCCCCCAGGGAGGAATGGCCACTGCACTCCCTGCTCCTCCATTCTCCTCTCAAGATCTCGGACACACACACACACACACATGCACCCGGCGTGAGTTTAAGCCACCAGGTCTGGGACTTGAACTGCGGTCGACTACATGGGAATCCAGTGACATAGACATTATGCCAACTGCTGGTCCCCATCACACCCCCTTTCTACTGTGGTTTAAAGTCACCCTCTTTTTTTTAAAAAAAAAGTATTTATTTTACATTCATTCACTGTGTATCACTGCAGCATACAAAAACTTTTTTCATCCAATTTCTCTCCTCTACTGTGTTTTGCAATGCGGTACCCAAAGAAACAGATTTGAGTTCAGATTTATGAAGAGGAGTTTCTCCTTTTGTGCAGCAGGTTATTCATATGTTCAGCTACTGTGCAAGGCACTCAGTGTGGAAGCTGAGAAGCAAAGTGAGAAAGTAAGGTAAAAGAAAAGAAAACAAAGGGAAATAAAATTAAAAAGAAAAAAAGGAGGAAAAAATTTTTTTGAAAAAAGCGAAAAATTTTATGAAAGAAAAAACCCACAGCGAGTGCACTGTGCAAAAGGGGCAGGACCCAGCTCAAATGTAGATGGATTCTGAAATTAAGGAGAGGTCAGAGGCAAGAGATAGTACTTAAAAATTAGAAAAAATTTAAAGAGAGAGACAGAGAAAAGACAGAGACTGCCCTACCTTTCTATTTAGGTGTTTGGTTCTGGAAGGAGAGATTTGGAGCATGGGTCTTCATCTACCCTGTCTAGGTGTTTGGATCTGGAAGCAATTCACCCTCTTAACACCTGAATCCAACCCCTATACAGCACTGCCAATGTACAAATATGATGGGGGGGAAAACTGTTGATAGATGCACAGTAGCACAAAACATCAGTATTTCCTAAGATTATCCGCAACTATGAATAATTTACTACGTCTGGTGATAAATTTTTATTGGGAAGCATCTAGTTTTATGTATATTTTTGGCAAAAAGAGTTTTTAGGTAGAACAAAGATCAAAAAGTCTTTAGATAAAAAAATTGAGAACTGTAATGAACTAGCAATTTAGCTTTTCTTAAATTGAAATGGCACAAAACTAAGATGTTCTGGAGTGATGGATAATCGAAGGCAAAAATAATCCCCAAATCTCTGTTGTACCATTAGTTTCTGCATCTTTACCAGACCTAAGAGTTCTCCATACTTAACTTTTTGGTATAAATGTTTCCATGTGATACAAGAGATCAATGATGAACAATAAGGCGAAGGAAGGAAAAAAAAAAAACAAAAGGACACAATTAATTCATAGAATAAACAATTACATCAGAGTTAATAATTGGCCTTTTATTTTTCTCTTTTTTGTTCACAGGCTGAATAAGCATACTTAATGCTTTCAATAAACAATGAACAAATGTACAGAATGACATGGACTGAGGTAATGTGTTATAATGGAAAAGGTTTTGTAGCCTAAGAATCGATTTTGTTTTGGTACATTATGAAACAAAGGAATCAAAGCTATATTTAAGTATGATGTTTTTCTTCCATCTTATATTTTTGTCTCATAGATGTTAAAATTTTCATTTCTGATTTCACATAAAATTACAGGCAGCTGACTCTTTGAGGTACTTTAAAATCACTCTAGGTACTTTGTACTTAAGTACACATATTTCAAGTAGGAATGACCTGTGAAGGAAAAAAGAGAAGGATGGAGTAGAACATGCTGTGATGCTCTTTTGTTATAAGACTTTTGCAATGTGACTTTGAAAATGATATGCATATATTACTTTGATAAGGTAAAATTTAAATCACATGTATCTACTTATATTTACATATGCATAGGAAAGTAACTGAAAGAATATTAATAACATCTACCCTTGGAATGGGAACTTGGGGTAGGAGGAAGGAACAAAGAAAAGGCATACTTTTATTTTTACTTGATAAAAGTTTAAAGTTGAACATTAGCTATAATCCTTTCAAAGTAGAACAAAGACAGAGAGATACTACATCTACATCTATATTAAGCCTGGTTTAATATATGGTGAACACATTTTCAAAGCAATAGATATACCTCTATGGTGTTAATTTTCATAGTAGTTCATTGCATAGATGTTTAACAAGCCTAGAAACAGGTTACTACCCTTCAATTAGTAGTGAAAAGTCATATCTAATTTCATCTGTAAAATTGGAATAGTAGGATCCATCTCCTAGCACTGTTTGTGAGAAATAAACTATTAGATGTGAAGTGCTCAGAACCGTACCTGCCCATAGTAAGCACTATCACGTGTTATCCATTACGTGTTAGTCTTCTCCTTCCTCCTCACTCATAATTATTTTTTAAAATTATTTAACTTTATTTTATTATTATTATTATTACATGAGTTTTGCCAGAGAAAGACTGAGAGAGAGAGAGAGAAAGCAAGCCTCCAGGTCGAGGACTTGAACTATGGTCCGCCATGTGGGAATTCCAACACTTTAACCACCACACCACTTGCTGCCCCCCCCCATAATTCTTATTATCTTTTGCTTATACTATTTACTGCAATGTCTTAAAACAAATCTGCCTATCAACAATATC